GGACCAATTTGGACGCATTAATGTCAGTACAACCGGCTGGTCAATATGGCGAATGTCAGTGTGGCGCGAAACAAGGTGCATTGAGATACACCGGAATTTCTATTTTAGATTGTACGTATTGAACGAAACCCAAGTCGTGAGCAGACGGTAGTAAAATTATGCCTATACAAATTTAATTTGGTTTACCTTCAATCCCTTTATTCATGGACATGTTTGATAGACTTTTGACTCAATTTTTTTTATCTAGTACTAATATTGAGGTACTGAATAATGTATTTCCAAAGTGTAGAGAACAAGGTGAAATAAATAGTATGAGTTATATTTGTCAAATTGAATAATATTCAGTATATTAAGAATAGTGAATGGTTTGAACAATGGAGCTAGATGCTTGTTAAATTTATTATATGCTAAAGTTGCCTTCTCTTTAACTGAGGAAAAAAATCTATACAAATTTCTGGAATACGTTGTCTTTATGCAAAACAATCAGAATTATGTCAGGATGTACTTGTAACCCCTTCCAATCGCCTATTTTTAACGGAAATGAATGGCCAAATATGTAATGTTCTGTATTATTTGGAGGAAAGCATTGTGAGATATTGTGCACTTTGGAATACCATATATCAAAATAGAGTTCATATACATAGCATAGTAGCTTCAGATTGTCGGGTGTTCGAGGGGTAAATATAAAGTAGGTGCGGTTTTGACCCACCTACCCATTTTTTTACCAGCATTTGTTGTAGGATTATCTAATCCTAGAAGAGCAACGTGCAAAGCCCAGAATATCGTCGTGGAGGCTAGCTGAATTCTCGTCTGCACGGGGGTTTTGAACCTGGAACCTCATCTTTCAGAAATTTCACATCTAACTAGCGGGAACCCTTTAGGATATGGGGTGTGTAAGGGAGTCAGTGAATTACATTTTGGCGGTTGATAATGAACATAATTTAATTCACCGACTCCCTTTAGGATATGGGGTGTGCAAGGGAGTCAGTTAATTATTCAGCAGAATGAACACTGTACATAATTTCTTGTGATTCCTAGTACAGTAACGATTTTGGCCCTTTGAGGTAGTCACCTGTTTCCAAATTCACCTAATGGTAGTGAATCACAGTCAAAAAGATCGTGGTCACTTCCAGAACTACCCGTTAACTGGGTGTGGTTGAGACCAGGGTGTGGTGATTATTTCCAGAGTATTCCTCCTTCCGCATAGCTTTGCTTTTCTGTTCCAGTGACCTGCTCGGGATTGCTCTCTCCGCATGCTGCCGCCCTGAGTAACTAGGTTTGGTCGGTTGCAAGTTTTGTTACCGGGTTTAGGGTTGACTGCAATATACGCCACTCACTGAAGTATTTGTTTCGTGAAATGTAGTTGTCGGGACACCACCACCACCTCTTTGTACAGTAACGATTTTTTTCTTCGACAAACCCTTGGTTCTGTTGCATGCACGAGGGCTGAACTGTACATGAATGGTGGACTGGTCAGATCCGTCTCGCCTTGTCGAGCTTTTCACTTGCAAGGGGTCTCAATCCAATCACCCCAAGAGAGGCTTGTCGTTTGCTTGCTCAATCACCCTGTCTGGTCCCGTTTCGGTGCACATCCGTTACGGATTTCGGCTGGAGCACCACCTTGCCTAATCAGGTCCGTTCCTGGCCTGCCTGGTCACATGGGCGAGCAATCGCACTGTGCTGTTCCCTTGTTCTCAATTTCAAGAGGCACCCTTTCCAGACCCGTGACGTCTACACCAGGTGTGTCGTAAATTGGTTCAATGTCCTCAGTTGCACAAGAGTGAACATCACGGACCCTAAAAACTATCTGATGAGCTGAAAGGCTAGTACTTGGGATGGGGGAGTTGATCACGCCCTACGAAATACGGACTAACAAGCTGATTCCACGTTGTCTCAAGATAGAGCCCACAAAAAGTCTCATGGAGTTGGAGAGCTGTTTTTCGTGAGTTGGAGAGCTGTTTTTGAGGGTTTCTCAACAACGCCGGCCCGTCCATGTATTGACGACATTGTCTCAACGAACCACATTCAACCATCAGCAGCGCTGGCAGTAGGCTGCCAAAGGAAAATCCAGCGGTAGCCGTCAATTTGTGTTCTGCGCCGCCACTGGGCGACTGTTGCTGTTTTCCACGACTAACACACAACACGACACAACCTCCCTTTGCTCACGCCCTGCCTAAGCCATACACCTCTTCTCAAGGACAAATTACCCTCACACAACTGTACCGTTTTCGTTCGCGTGCCTTCTGAAGGGGTCATCAAGGCGTGTAGAAAGTGCTGCACAAACTCGACGTCGAGGAACGTCGGTGAATCCTGACGGTTGGAACCTTTGATCCGAGGGTGGAAGTTCACCGATGTTGCTCGACGTCGAGTTTTTGCGCACTTTGCACACGCCATTACGCGAGTGGGATGACAGATGATTACGGTGTACACATGATGCTCAACCCCTGCCGAACATTTTCCCGTGTTTTTCCCGCCGTGATTCTCCATCCTCTTTCCCACTCATTCAAACCCACGCCCCATGATCGTTGTCATCTCGCGTGCCCCAAGACTCCTTCTCTTCTGTAATTGCTTTCTCGTCGTCATGCTATTGATCAAGCAAATCTTGTCGGCTGCTCGTTTGGCTTCAACAAGTGAGTGACTGCATTCGTTCAGCTGCTCGGCTTCGAAACACACAATTGAAACACACAACTGCTGATTTGCCGTGATCATTCTTGATGAGTATGATCATCTTCACCACGCGTCGTCGCCTCAGCCACACTACGCCGACTGTTAACGCAGGTACGAGGCCCGAAAATAGTAATACTCTGCTGAATTCACGGGTCTCATTTGCTTCTGCTCCTGCCTCGTAACGCAGTTTCCGTAGCGCACGATGCGTCGCAAGCCCAAGTGGTTTTGCTGCTCTGGCGGCGCCGTGTGCCCTTGACCCGCGTTACCACTGCGCGCCTGACGATTATGCCGAGATTAGTTTCCTCGTCGTTCCTAGTCGATTCTTGAAAGGTGCGGCCCCTTCGACCTGAGGTCGCCGTTGCCGGGACACGATCGTGGGGAGGCTGTTTCTATTCGTTGATTTTCTACAACTGTTCATGATTCATCACCGACTGACGCCGCGCCTCCTTTTCCCAACGAAATCACCTGCTCGATCGAATTTGTCCTCGCAAGAGCGCCAAGTAGCCCTTTTTTGCGACGCGACGACACGACTGGGAGAAGTAACTTTTCTTCTTCCCCTGGGAACTAGACATTCCCCATTCTCAGTCCACAATTCTCGTCGTCCTGACTTCAGCGCGTCGCACCAGCTCAACGTCTCTGAGCAGAGTTAACTCTTGGATGCATTTTACTCTCGACTCGCCAAGCCCATGACCCCGCCCTTTGCGCGGCGCGGACCGCATCAAGACAAGAAGTCCCCATCCGAATCGCCCCAAGTCGGAGCTATCGCTGCACAGCGCGCAGGTGATCCATTTGCGGCTCTCGCTGCGGCGGTGGAGCTGGCGACCGGACTCCGCGTCGCCCACCCGATCAATTCGTCGCCGCAGCGCATTCAAACAGCTTTGTTTCAAAGCACTGGAGGCAGAGAATGCGGGGAGGGGCGAATTGGAGCCGCGCCGCGCTCAGCGGGGATGCTGGGTATCGATATCATCCCGCCAGGCGCGGCCGCGCTTCACACAGTTGCTGCACCCGATCAGGTGCCGCCAGGAGTTACTGTTTCTGGGAGAGGCGGCGGCGGAACGGCCGCAGCTTGGTCGCCGAATGCGCCGCGTCGCGCGAAAGGGAACTTAGAATCGTTGGCCGATCGGGCGTCGCGGAACCACCTGAAGCCGGAGGCACGTGGCGCTGCGACGGCGACGGCGGTGGAGCCGCTTTACGCGGAGGAAAGAGCCGCTTCGGAAGCTGCACCGCGGCCCTCGGCGGGAACATCAGAAGCAGCAGCAGCAGCAGAAAGGAGCAAATCTGATCGATCTGCAGATGGGGCGAGCCGCCCCCTCGCGACGTTCACAAAAAACTGTCCAAGTGACTTCGCGGAGGGCCGTGGGCCACACTTTCAGGAATCGGCGCGCTTCAACCTCTCTCCCAACCCGCATGGCGAAACGCCAGCGGCAGCTGCGGCCGCCGAGAGCCGCTGGCCATTGCCATGCGCGGGAATTATGGCAACAATGGCAACTATCGAGAAGTGTGGTCCGTCGCTGGCAACTATAGCGTCGCGCGGCGGCCGCCCGACTGTTACTAGCGCTTTTGCTATCCCCGCCAGCCCTGGCGGCGCCGCAATTTCCGGCACCGCAAGTTCCGCTCGCCCCGCCCCCGCATTTCGCGTAGATTCCGTGATGTCTGCTGGGCAGGCGGCCGCGGCGGCCGCCGCCGCCGCCGCCGCCGCGCGGGAAAGCGGCGCCGCGTATCCGATACGGAAAGCGACGTGGCGACTGAATAATGCGGCCATGGCGGCAGATAACAGCGGCAGCAGCAGGTCCGCCAAACGCGGTTCCAGTACCAGCGGTACCAGCGGTGCCAGCGGTAGCAGCGGCAGCAAGAGGAGTGGCAGCAGCTGCAGCAGGCAAGCAGGCGACGAGGCGCTTCGCGCTGCTGGCCCTGTTCGCGACCTCGTGCATTGGATCAGCCTCCCTACCACCACCGCCACTGCCACCACCGCCACTACCACCACCGCCACTGCCACCGCTACAACCACCGGGACTGCTGTAGCCGCCGCCACAGCTACAGCCGCTGCTGCCTTCCCCATGGACCCGGGGGAGGCCGCGCCAGTCGCCCCCACTTCCGCCACCACCCGCTTTCCGCCCTGCTCTCTCCCCCATGCTCGTAACGGCGATAGCCGGGTGATGAAATGCCATGCGGCTGAGGCGGATTCGCCCACTTGCCGGCAATTTGAACGCTGGACTTTTCCCCATCCGCTGTTGAATGAATTTAGCAGCAGCGGCGGTGGCGGCACCGGCAGCGGGGGATGGGGAGGCGGAGGGGGAAGGGGAGGGGGAGGGGGGGTTTCCATGCTGGGAACGATGAGTCCCACGATTGCTATACCTTCCCCTGTCGCTGCTGCTCTAGGTAGATCATGTGCCGTGCCATTTCCTCCGTCTCCCATTCACGTCGGCAGTCCTGCTGGTGCTGCTGAGTTCGCGGGGCTTGTTGCATCGGCTGCTCTCCCGTGGAAAGGAGGGGGTGTGCAAGTGCACTTGCATGCTCCGATGAGGCACAGCGGGCCCAATGGGACCAGTGGCATGAGGGAGTGCCAGATTCGACCTGCCCAGCAAGTGACACCTGGAACTGTTGTCACACCAGGTGCTACCCCTGCTGCCACCCCTGCTGCCACCCCTGCTGCCACCCCTGCTGCCACCCCTGCTGCCACCCCTGCTGCCAACCCTGCTGCCACCCCTGCTGCCACCCCTGCTGCCACCCCTGCTGCCACCCCTGCTGCTGCTTCTGCTGCTGCTTCTGCTGCTGTGGCGGATGCTGTGTGTTCTGGTGGGGCTGGCGGTGGTGTTGCTGCGGCAGCGCCGGCCCCCCCAGGAGCAGGTGATCACTCTCTCGTGCTCTGTGATACGACCTGCCCCAGTAACAGCCGTTTCAGCACTGACGACCACCAGGCTGGAAACTCCGAACCCCGTGGTGCAAGCACTGGTGGTGACGCGAGACGAGACGAGGGGCAGGAGGAAACGAGAGCCTGGCGTGGGGAGGGAGCAGGGCGGCGAGAGGGAACCGGAGGAGGCAGAGGGAGAAGGGAAGGATCGGGAATCGGCGTGTGGGTTGCGGGTGCTGCTGCTGGTGGTAGTGGGAGAGTGGGGGTGGAGAGAGGGGAGGAGGGAGAGGGGATGAGAGGTGGAGGGCGCTTATGGTGGCAAGGACAAAGGTGTGGAGGGCAGGAGTCTGGTGCTGGGAAGGAGGAGGAGGAGGCGGAAGAGGCGGAAAGGGGGGAGGTAAAGGAGGAGGAGGAAGAGGAGGCGACTGGTACGGAGGCCGAGGCAACAGTTGAGGAGGGAGGAGGAGGGGGAGCGAAGGGCGGCGGTGGCAGAGCGAGCTTGTGGGATGACAGTCCTAAGGGTGCTGCACTCGAAACAGCTTTGCAGGCTCTTACTGCGCGTGCCGCTCCCGCTCCTGCTGCCTCTGCTGAAACTGGCGCTGCTGGGGGCGATGGCATGCATATGCCTGCTGCTGCTGCTGGCAGCGCAGGAGGTGGACTGGAGGAGTGCTTGCGTTGGTGGATGGGCAAGGGTGGCATGAGGAGGGGGGTTGCAGCAGCAGTGGGTGACACCAACACACGTATGGCCATGGCTCCCACCACTGCCACGCCTGCTGTGGATGCTGATGATGCTGCTGATGCTGCTGCTGCTGCTGCTGCTGCTGCTGCTGCGGGTACGAGAAGTGTTCCCATGGGGGCCTTGACATGGCCTGGCGGCGTGGAGGCAAGGGGGCAGAAGCGCAGGGCGGACAGTGATGCATGGGGGGAGGGGCGTGTGAGGGATGCGCGTGCGTGGGTGCAGGGACGGATGGATCGCCACACGCTGTCTGGCTCTCTGGGAGACTTGACAACAACACACCACCCTGCTGCCCCCACTGCTGCCACTGTCGTTGCCCCGACCACAACTGATTCTATCGCCGCTGCTGCTGCTGCTTCTGCTGCTGCTGCTGCTGCTTCTGCTGCTGCTGCTCTGAATGCGGCTGCAGCAGGAGCGTCGGCTCCCCCTGCGCCCCTTCCCTCGGACTGGCTCAGGCTGTGGTCCGTTGGATCGCATCGATCGTACGGACCACAGGCGTTTGCTGTCATGGAGGAGCAAGGGCGAGTGGGAGCGCACGAAGAGATCGAGGCAGAGGGAGGAAGAGGAGGTATCGATCGAGGGTTGGAAGATATAGCGAGGGATGACAACGGATTTGCAGGAAGGCTTGAGGCCACTGGAGGTTTTGCTGCTGCCGCTTCCGCTGCCGCCGCCGCCGCCACCGCCACCGCTGCTGCTGCTACTGCTGCTGGTGGTGGTGCTGCTGGTGGTGGTGCATCTGCTGCTACTGCGTCTGCACCTCCTGCTCCTCCTGCTTCTAGTGGAGCAGACTCTGGCCCTCAGGATCCCTCCCAGACACCCTACTTCTCCCTCACCGCCTTCCCCCCCGCTCTGTTTCCTCTGCCAGAGTCCTCCCCAGCACAGGTCACCGCCACAAGCAGCACTCTCAATCGATCCTCTCTTGCTGCTGCGCCCACTCTCCCCTCCCCTCTCCGCCCGTCCTCGGCCCCACTCCCTTCCCCCCTCTCCACTCTCCCCTCCTCCTCTTCGTCACTCAAACCGCCTTCACACTCTGCGTCCCTCACCTCCCTCGCTACCCCCGCTCCCCTCACCGGCCGCCCACCGGCGTTCGTTTCCGCGCAGCAGCCCTCGCGACTGCTGGAGCACCTGCAGTCGGTACTTCAGTCATCCCACGGCATAGGGGCAGCACTACGGGTTGCGCTCGCCCAGAGTGGCTCTGGCAGACAGTTCGCCAGTGGCGGGACGGCGGGGGCAGCAGGGGGGGTAGGAGGAGCGGGGGCAACAGGGGCAGCAGGGACAGAAGCTGCACGTGCAGCTGACGCAGGAGGTGCACCTGCGTGGGGTGGTGGCGTAGGAGCAAGAGGAGCATGGGCGGAGGAGCTGGGAGGGGTAATGAGGGTAGAGGTGTGGGAACAGGGAGGGGGAGAGGCGAGGGACGAGGGCGCTGAGATGTTGAGTGAGGGAGGAGAAGCAAGGGAGATACGGAGCCAGGGTGCTGCTGCTGATCCGATCACGGAAGGTTTGAGCCGCGTGCAGGCAGTGCTGCAGGCACAGGCACAGGCACGGGCGCAGGCGCAGGCACAAGCACAAGCACAGGTACAGGCACAAGAACAGGCCCAGGCACAGACACAGGCACAAGAACAGGCAGATGCACAGGCAAACGCACAGGCGCAAGCACGGGCCCAGGCACAGGCACAGGCACAGGCACAGGCACAGTCACAGGCACAGGCACAGGCACAGGCACAGTCACAGTCAGGGTTGCAGTCTGGTGGTCTGGCTGAGGCGGTGGTGGCGCCGTTTTCCGGGCGGCTGCGCGTGCAGCAGGGGCAGCAGACGCGCGTGGTGGTGCGCACGCAGTGTGGCGAGAGCGACGTGCTGAGGGACGGCCACAAGTGGCGCAAGTACGGGCACAAGGAGATCAAGAACTGCCCCTTCCCCAGGTAGGCAGGCGCGTGCGGGTGGGGAGAGTCCTTTCATGGCCACTCCTTCCCTTTCACCAGGAGCTACTACAAGTGTGGGTACCCCGGTTGCCACATCAAGTCACACGTTTTGTTAGTCAACTAGACATATTATCTGATCCCTCCTTTCATGGCCACTCCTTCCCTTTCACCAGGAGCTACTACAAGTGCGGGTACCCCGGTTGCAACATGAAGAAACACGTGCAGCGCTGCCCTTCCAACCCTGCCATGGTGGTTACCACATACGAAGGGGAACACAGCCACACCCCCACTGACGACTCAGCTGCTGCTGCTGCTGCTCAGGCTAATGCTCATACCAGTGTTTTTGCCACTGCTAATGCTGCGGTTAGCGCTGCTGCTGCCTTGGGTGCGGCAATGAGTGAGGCGGCGGGAGTGGGGGCAGGAGGTGGAGGAGGAGTGGGCTGGGGAGCAGGGTCAAAGGGAGAGGACAGATTCCCTTTTCAAGCAACTAGTTCCGACTATACTGGGACTGCTTCTGCTGCCCCTTCTGTGTCTGCCGTCTCTGCTGCTGCTGCTGCTGGTGGGGGTGCGGGTGGGGGGATGACTATCAGTGCATTGGAGAGAGAGGGTGGGAGGGATGGTGCGTTGCAGCGCATGCTGCTGCTCATGCAGGGAGGAGGCATGGCTGTGGAGAGCAAGAGCAGCGGGGCAGGACCTGCTTCTGCTGCTGCTGCTGGAGAGGGGACGAGGCAAGGGTTGGTGAGGCAGGGTGGGGATGGTGTGGAGAGAAGGGACGTGGAAGGAGCAATGCAGGACCTCGCCTCTCCCACCTCGAATTCTCTCCTTGGTGTGTCGTCTTCTTCTGCTGCTCCTGCTGCTGCTGCTTCTGCTCGTTTTGCAGCAGCAGCAGCTGCTGCTGCTGCCGCGCCCACGGGGTGTGCGCCTGGAATGACAGCGCGGAGTGGATGGGCGAGGCTGATGGCCATGGAGGCAGCCAAGCTGAGAAAGAGAAACGCTGCTGCTGCTGCTGCTGCTGTTGCCCCTCCTGCTGCTGCTGGTCCTGCTCCTGCGCCTGCTCGTGCTGCTGCCCCTCCTCCTGCTCCTCCTCCTGCTCCTCCTCCTGCTCCTGCTCCTGCTCCTGCTCCTGCTGCTGCTGCTGCTGCAGTCGCTACTGGTTCCACTGCTTCTCTTTCGGCTGCTAATACCAATACAGAAGGAGGAGGAGGAGGAGGAGGGGGAGGAGGAGGAGGAGGAGGAGGAGGGAGTTCCAACTCTCTGTTTGCTGTTCTTTCCGCGCACAATCTCAGCCCCAGAACAGCAGCACAGCTTCAGCTCAACACACTCGCCAGCGTTGCAGCACACACTCAGCCCCTATCCATGTTCCCTCCTCCCAGGCCCGTCCTCTCTCTCTCCCCAACCAAAACCCGCTCCACTACCAAGGCAGCCAGCACCAGCAGCACTGATGTACACGCAATGAGCACAGGCGGCGTGGGAGTGGGCATGGGCGTGGTCATGGATCGAGTCGCTCCAGACTGGAAAGTGGCAGCAGCAGCTGCTGTTGCCACGGCTGAGGGGTCTGAGCCTGCCGCCAGCCCCACAAGCATCGCCATACCCCAGACCAGTCACGCTCCTGCTGCCTTCAACCCAGCTCTTCTCACCCGTTCCTCCTCACATGCCCTGCCTTTCTATCCACTGACATCATCTGCCGCTGCTGCTGCTGTGGCGGCGGCTGCTGCTGCACCTTCAACATCAGCAGCTGCTACCATGACAGCAGCTCTTGCTGCTGCTGGTGGGGAGGCCTTTCCGTTCTCACAGTTGGCTGACATGGCTCCACCTCATGCCCCCCTTGCTCCTCTACCCAACCATGGCTCTGGAGTTGGTGCTCGTCTGCTTACTTCTTCTGCTGTCCCCTCGTTCAACGCTCCACAAACTGGAGGCACAGCAGCGTCAGCCACATTGGCTTTCAGTGCAACCACCAGAACCGCCACACTGACCCGCTTGGCTCCCCCGTTTGTGTCGTCCTCCCTTGCACCATCACCTCTCGAGGCAAGGGAGAGTCAAAAGCCTAATTCAGGTGCGGGCTTGCCCTTGGCATCCGTTTTCCTGTCCCTTGAAGACGCACAGAGGGAACATGCGCACACACAGACACTGTCACATTTACAAGCACAAGCGAATGCATCTGGGACAACAGAAGCCTCTGGGGCAGCAGCAGCAACAGGGTCAACCGGAAACAACTCAGGACCCAAGCTGTTCGGGAGATTGTTACAGTGACAAATTCTGCCAAGGTTGGAAGCTACCCACCTTTTTAATATCCCATTTTTGACCTTTTAGTATATCCCTATGCAGCTGCCCCTACTATTGGGTATATTTTATGTCAATTTTGCAGTTTAGTTACTAATTGGCAGCCTTGTAGTGATTTTCGGAGTTGCTTGCTGGTCTAGTTGGACTTGTTAGATGTTTACTATATCTCCCTGGGGGTAGTTACCAGAAGACATGTATGTCTTTTTCTCAGTTCATTCGGCTTAATGTAACAGCTCAATGTTCCTGTTATGAGTTGTACTAAAAGAGTGCGCGGAAGACATTATAAAGAGGATGAGAACTACAGAATGATCAAGAATGATAAGGAGCTGTTACGGGTGCAATGAATCGAAGTAGCGAGAATTGCACTAAGGTGTCAAACGAGTACAAAGATGTGAGCGAACATTTATACGCGAAACATGCAAACGGTAACGCGGTGCGTGCGGGCTAGCAAGTGCTATGCTGGCAGCGAGGCTCGGGCTAGTCCCGAAGCGTAGGCCGACACGGCCGGGCCAGCAGTGCGAGGTTTGGCAAAACAGTGCGCGCGAAGTTGGCGAAGTCCCGTTAGCAGTAACGGGCGAACAACGGCTGTTGCTGTACGCGATGTAGTCGGGCTCCGTAAGGAATGCCAAGAAAATCCCTTACACTACCCCCCCCCTCAAGAAGCCCCCTCCGCTACGCAAGTGCGTGTATATCGCGGAATCCCCGGCTCCTCAGGTACACTTGCACGGCAGGGTGGTTTTCAATGTTGGCCAGGGGCACCCAGCTATCGTGAGTTGGCGTGCGGTCCTTCCAGCGAACGAGGAATTCAATCCTCCTGATTCCCGTGGGGTGGCGAATCCGATGGCTCAGGATTTTTTCGGGCTCGATGATCGGCTCCGATGCAGGGCGAGTCATGGATGGCGGGCGGTGGCGAGGCAGTTGGCTAGTGGTTGGGATGTATGGGCGAAGCAAGCTGACGTGGAACGAAGGGCTGATGTACCAGTCGGTTGGTAACAGTAGGTGCGCGGTTACTGGCGTGATCATGTGGCTGCTTTGGAATGGGCCACAGTAGCGCGGTCGAAGTTTTGGTACGTCGGGCAGTCGCAGATTTTGCGTGTCGAGCAGTACGTAATCCCCTCACTGGTATGTGACAGGGTGGCGGTGGCGGTCAGCGTTGCGCTTAGCAATGGGGTTTGCTTCTTTAATTGCTTCTGCGGCTCTGGTGCGGGCAGCTTGCAGAATTTCGGCGAATTGCTGTGCACGTGGTGTTGGGTTGTCCGGACTCGGCGTCATGGGCACTGTAGGATTTTGCCCGTAGTTCAGGTAGAAGGGGGACTGCTGCGTTGTCGCTAACATGGCGATATTGTACGCGAACTCGATCAGCGGTAGCTGCTGCTCCCAAGTCGTGGGGTCGTCGCACGTGGCACGAATCAACTGCTCCATCGTCTGATTTGTCCGCTCCGTTTGACCGTCGATCTCGGGGTGGTACGACGAACTGAACTGTAGCTTGGTCCCAAACTGCTCCCACAGGTTCTTCCAGAAGTTGCTGGAGAATTTTGTGTCCCTGTCGCTGATAATCGCTGCTGGTATCCCATGCAGGCGAACAACGGCTGCGATGAACAGACGAGCGGTCTCCTCGGCTGAGATCGACTTTTTGCACGCAGCGAAGTGTGCCATCTTCGTCAACCTGTCAACGACGACCATCATCGCGTCGTTACCCCCAGGGTTCGAAGGTAACCCTGTGACGAAGTCCATGGTAACCTGCTGCCAGGCGCGCTCGCGCGGTGGTATCGGCTGCAATTGACCCGCCTTTCGCTTCCTCGAGCTCTTCATCACGTGACACGTGGGGCACGAGCCCACGTGCTGCTGCACGTCGATCAACAGCTCCGGCCAGTAGTAATACCGCTGCAGTTGCTGTCGTGTTTTTTCTACCCCAAAATGTCATGAGGTAATTCCGTCGTGTGCCTCCTACTGTAGCAGCTCCCTCAGTAGTGAGTACGCGGGTACCCAGTGTCAAACATTATATATATTGTTGTAGTTGTTTAGGCTACAGTGGGTTAGCCTATAGGGGGTACACACTTCTAGGTTTCCATATTTGTACTCATTTCATTCTTAGTCATTTCATTCCTTGTTCAACATGGTATAGAGCAGGTCCTTCCTAGGACCGTTTTTCCTAAGGGCCCACCACTACCTACCTGCCTATCTGCCTACCTGCCCTAGGGCGCCTCGACGTTCACGCCCCTAGAGGCCCTGTAGGCCCCGCGCTGTTGCACCTAGAGGCCCCGAACCGGCCCCGCGCCTAACCCTAACGGCCCGCGTCGGCCCGAGCTCGTCCCCTAGAGGCCCGCGTCGGCCCCGCGCCTACCCCTAGAGGCCCGCGACGGCCCCGTCCTTACCCCTAGAGGCCCGCGACGGCCCCGTCCCTACCCCTAGAGACCCGCGACGGCCCCGATCCTACCCCTAGAGGCCCGCGTCGGCCCCCGTCCCTACCCCTAGAGGCCCGCGTCGGCCCTGTCCCTACCCCTTACAGCCCGCGTCGGCCCCGGTCCTACCCCTTTCGGCCCGCGTCGGCCCCGCTCCCCGCGCTCCCCTTAGCCGCCTCGAACGGCCCCACCTAGACCGCGCCGCCCGCACCGAACAGCCCGGCCCTAACGGAACCGAGCCGCCCGACCCGAGCCGCGCCGCCCGACCCGAGCCGCCCGAACCGAGCCGCGCCGCCCGACCCGAGCCGCGCCGCCCTACCTA